TATTAGAGAGAGGCTGGTTCAAATAAAAACTAGTGCTGGTGTGAGAACCGTGAGAACCATATTTGATGTTATTTATAATTTTGTATGATGCTATTTTTAACACACATGGTGCTATCATTTTCACAAATGTTAATATAAATTGTGTTGCTATTTTTAATAAAATAAATCTATGTTAAAAATAGCACTAAAACACAATTTATCATAGCACTGTACAACTAAAAATAGCGGTTCTCACGGTTCTCACGCTAGGACTTGGTTCTCATTTGAACCAATATATATATGACGGATCAACCCGCCAAAATGTTAGGCTACCTTACACAATAATTTACGACAAAAAAGTAAAAAGGTAAAAAGGAACAAGGAAACAAAGATGAAAACAATAGAGGAGAAATGAGACATTTACTGTTCTTGCTCCTAGGATTACCTTAAAGTTTGGATTTCAATAGTTAAGTGGCTTTTTGTGTAAGTGGTAAGATTGAGTTATCAAACTTTTGGAGCCTTGAAGGTTGGTTCACTCATTAGGGAAATAGGAGGAGCTTTTGCCTACTTCACTAGTGCATTCATTTACTTGTGGTGTAGTGTATGTATGTAGTTTAACATTATAGGATGTTTGTATTTAGCTGATCATATATCAACCATGATTTATTTTTTAATTTATTTTATTTTTTTTCCAAATGTCTGCATCACCGGACTTCAAAGTTTAACCCTCTAGAGAAATGATATACGGTTCTAAAAAACAAAACCAATCATCGAACCACTGGTCCACTGGTCGGACCAGTGGTCGAACCAGTGGTCGGACCGATTTAATTAAATATATAATGGCTCACTGGTCGGACCAGTGGTCGAACCGATTTAATTAAATATATAATTATTTGTTTATTTTATATGCATAATATATAATTATATATTTAATTAAATATATAATAATTTATTTATTTTATATGTATAATATATAATTTTGTATATTTTCATCAGTATTTTTATAATGTATAATAACATTTATCTAAATAAGAGTTCAATAATCAATAACCTATTTATATTTTACGATTCGAATACAAATCAGATTTTAATTTTTACCCACACATAAGGTTTATTATTTTAATTTTAAAATTAGATTCAAATTTTTTTCTTTTTCACTTTTAATCACCTTTTGAGATATTTTCAACATCTTCCTACTGTATGTTGAATAACATTTTGTTGTCGGTTGAGAATTTGGTTTGCAATTACATATTGAAGCTAAAAGTGGAATCGCTTGAAAGGGATTATAATGTTTCATATTTTTTTTTTCGAAACGATAGATCCATTAAATTAAAACACGTAATTACAGTCGACTGAATAGCCGAAATGGGAGGACTACACTAGGCAGCCTAGAATCCACAACACACACTACAAGACTAAACATAAAAATAAAACTTCCCATAGGAGAATACACACTCCCCAAAGGAGAATAAGACAACCCCACAGGGTAATAACACAAACCTCACGGAAAGGAGAAAACAAAATACAACCTACAAAACAAAAACACGCACAAACACAACCACAACAAAAAAACACAAACAAAATAAACGAGATTCCTTCCCACAACAACGAAACCAAAGAGAACACCAACGATGTCGACACTCCTAAGTGACCACCCACACGGCGAGAGACTTGGTCCAAGCCACAAAACCAGAAACTGCAGAAACATCGCCTAACCAGATCTGAGACAAAAGGACCCGATCCTTCACCAAGGTAGACCACCCAAACAACCCGCAAACCTTTACAAGCCACAGACTTGGAATCTCGTTATTATGTTTCATATTTGGAAATAGAAACCTTACAAGCCATAGACTTGGAATAATTTATCCTTATTCATTTGGAGATTTTTTTTAATTACTACATGAATATAAATATATTGCAAATATACGAGTTGTTATATTTTATTAACGTTCATACCAAACTGAAGTGCATTTATTTTGTGCTCAATTGAAAATCAAAGGAATCCACCTTCCTACAATCACTCCCCTATATTAATTCAGTTGGAGAAAAAAAAAAGGTAAGTGGATATGAATCTTCATTATCTTAAGACGCTGTTTATTTTTTCCTAATATAAATTTCAATCGACTATCTCTCTCAAAATACAGAAACGCGATCTTTTTGTAATATACAAGGATTAGTTTATACATAATATATACAGAATATACGAATATACACAGATTAGTTCATATCAAACACAAAATACACGATCTTTTCGTAAAATGTACAGATATATACAGAAAATATCTACATAATATATAAATATAATATACTGGATTAGTTTATACATAATATATATAGAATATATTGAACATATACGCCATATATATGCAACATATATTGTCATCACCAGTTCACAAAAAAAAAAAAAAAAAAAAAAAAAAAAAAAGAATAAAGAAAGTTGATCGCGGAGCCTCTCTGATACTTCGACCATATAACTGCTCTCACTCTCTCATTCTCAGCCAGCCTCTCTGATACTTCGACCTTCATCCAAACCTCTGTTGACGCCTTCGATAATCGAGACCGACCTTGCCTTCGTCCTCCGCCCCCAGCTTCCGCCTTCGAGAATCGATAATGACCTCCACCTTCGAGAATCGAGATAGACTTTCGCCTCTGCCGCCGGTGTCCATCTTCAAGAATTGAGCCCACTTTCCCCCTCTCCATCGAATCCCATTTTCTTCGTCTCCATCAATCCCCTTTTTTACAGTTTTTATTTTTCTTTCCTTTTTTTTTACAGTTTAAAAGTTATTATACTAGGTTTTTAATTGGAGAGCGAAAATTTAATAGCTAATATAATTGCCAAAAAAAAAAAAATGATTAGTAAATGTGCAAATAAAATTGCTTTGGATGGTAGGTGGGTGTAATTTCCTCTATTCATTTTGGATTAAGTGATAAACTGGACAGCCTTTCATGGGCAGCCCATTAAACATTTTCCAAAAAGCAGCCTAGGAGAATATATTAAGGTGTATCTGTAAAGCCCAAAAAAATAGGCCCGGTACCAATAATTATAAATGATAGAAATCACTAAATATGAGACATCCAAGAATCAAGATATCATCATCACTACTTGCACTCCCACATTCATATCTGCAGGCTCCCAAAATGACTGCACAAGAAGCCACTCACAGATCACACAGGTCGTAAAAAAAAAAAATCGACACCCAGTATACTTACAGTAATCGATCTTCAAAAAAAATAAAAAATAAAAATAAAATGCGTATTTTTCACTGATAATCTATAGTAGGAAGTCTTTAGAATCTACAGCAGAGGATACCCGACCGCCAGCCTTTTTGTTTCCGGTAATGTCTCCTGTCCGCTTTCGCCATTCTCACCGGACTGCTATTCCACTCGGGCTGCAATCTGTACAAAAAGCAAAGCACAACATGAAACAAGATCCACTAAAAACCATTACTTCCCTGAAGTTTAGTTTTATACGGAAAACCCCCAGTCACATTTTAAATTGTGTCACAAGCAAAACCATATGGCCTGTCTGTATTCACCAAACAGATTCCCAAAAACGCCATGGGACAAGTGCAATTTCGAAAATATGGGGATTCTTGTAATTAACATAAACTTCCTCATGCTTAACATCCAAAAAGAAATGAAGAAAAATGAGGAAAATCAATTCATTACATTGGGAAAGCAAAAGATCGTGTGCTGGTTGTGCTGGCATCTGATCGGTGAGAGAGGCTCCCAGAGAGTGCTATTGGCCCTGAATATGTAACCGCAGAGAAACTCGTCTCCCCCTGTTCGTACTGCAACTGGTCAGCTGGCGTATCACCATTACTCGTCTCCCCATGTTCCTGCTTTTCTTCGTCTGGCTTGACAGCTGGCGCATTATCATTCGCTGGGCTATGGCTCTTGTCACCTGAAAACTGAACATGCCCCTCTGGGCAAGAATCATCAGAATTACCCTCCTTGTGTTGTTCACAAGCATTTTTTTCAGAACCGATTTTGCTGCAAACAGGATGGATTTTGCTATTGGCAGATAAGAAGTCGGGATTCTTATCCTCGACGGTAGGAGACTGTTGGTGGGGAAGTGATGTGCTGCTGCTGGTGCATTGTACCATCTCAGCATCTGAGAAATTGGAAGTTATGATTCTGGTTTCGACATTAATGTCCTGCAACATGTTTTTGGGTTGCCCTTCTTCATCCGGTTTTCCATCTTCTGAGGATAATTCATTTGGAACATCAGGAACGGATTTTTGAATAGGTACCTGTGGAGCAAAGCAATCCAATCTCTATCAAATTCAGGATTCAAAATGAAGCATCAGCAGACTTACTAACCATCATATCTTTTTATGGTAATCCACTTCAATAGCTTTCAAATTTTTACTTTTAGTTTTTAAAGAAGAATTTCGAAGACAATATTCAACTTAACTCTAACTTCAAAATTTCCAGTTATCTTTCACAAGATAAGTCTCGTTGTCATTCAACGGACACTTCGGGATACCTTTATGTTGTTAAGCTTGAAAAAAAAAAAAAAA